TATTCAATGTTTTCTGTTAAATTGTAGAACAGTTTAATCATCTATATATGTTTAGTAAGTCTTCAAGTTATATATTAATTCTAAAATAATCCAGTTGTAACTCCAGTACAAACCCAAGAACGCATTATCACTATACTTTAAAACACACACACACACAGTAGTACATTCCAGCTAGAATACTTGATCCTTTTTATTAATTGTGAAATAATGGACAAGCATTCTTACCTAATATTGAAATTTCATTTGTAATGACTGCATCAGTTTATTTCAAGGAATGAATAACAATTGGTTATATTTAATGTGAAGGTTGTTTTTAAGAGCAAGTAGGCAAATTTAAATTATTGAGGTTTCATAGCATATGTCTGCTTTGTTTTCTGCATTTTGTTACATTATTTATATGTACAAGAGCGAAAATAAAATCTAACCAAACCCAACGTAATTTCATGATCTTCCAAGGGAAATTGTTTGAGAAAATATTAGTATTTATAAAATATATATCACTACAAATAATATTCTTACAATAATGTTTCTCATTTTAGGAAAATATGTAAAAATTAACTTTGTTTTTCAAACAGTAATTCATATATTTACACATGCAAACATGCTTAAACAATAAGTTAGGTATTATACAAAAACAATATCAATATAAAATAAAAAGGAATGATTTAAAATTTTGTTGATAAAGTATGATGAGATGCAGCATTACAACATTAGCAAGTTTTGTTAAAATAAAACACTTACAGCCCTCCCCACTCATCCTTAAGTAAAATCCCTGTGTGTGTTAAAATTTGGAAAAATAAATATTTGTATAGCTTATTATTAAAAGCATTATATACTGACAAAATTGTTTTGAAATTCTGAATAAGCTAAATATTTACCCCCTCATAGCATTATTTTGAAGGGGGATATAAAGAAATACCACCTATCAAATATTCTCAAATTTATTACACATACAATTAAAACTCTAAAAATATTTACCACATTTTAAGTGTTGAAAATACAGTATCATAAATACATCAAAATTCCAAACTAAAAAATATTTAACCCTTCAGCTGCATTTGACATCATATGATGTTAGCATTTTGCATGGCCTGCAGCAAAAATTCTTGAATCTTTGTGCATGGGGTGGTAGGCAAATTTACACAAGCCACAAACAAACGGTTAAAATATTTAAAAATGAGTAACATTCTTTCTATTTTAAATTAAAAGTTCTCTAATTCCAAATTAATTTTTTAAACTTACATTTATTCAAAAGAAATTTTATGGAAGATTTCATATCTTGTTTTGTCAACATACACTGCAGAGTTTGTTACAGCATAATACAAGAGTTTTAAGCTGAAATATAACAGGAAGTTTCAGAAAACTAAAGTTGGAAACGTAAGTAAGAACATCCAAAAACAAAGATATTTGACATTCTCTTCAAGATATTTTTCAATTTCAATACTAACCTCAAAATGTAAATTTTAAATAGAATTAGAAAGATGCTGTGAACAGAGAGATGTTTAACAAGAACAAAGGGATATTTTTTGGCCTGAATTTAGAACTTCAGTAATTTAAGTTACTCTAGATCACACTATAACAAAATCTTTATTGTATAATCATATAAAATATTACGAGAGAATTTGCTGTATTTAATGTTAAATGTGTTCACTAACATTATTTTAATAATTTAATGGTCTTAAAATAGCCAACTACTGGTCTTGAAATTTCACATGCTTTTGCAGAGCAATTCTTTTTTTTTGGCATGTTGCTGATGAAGATGAAATCAACATCACTTTTCCCAGGTTCTCTAAACCTATACTGAAGTAAAAATATATTTTTCTAAAGTTTTGTTTTAGAAAAAAAAAAACATTAAAGACCTTTCTTCCACTATCATCTGCTCCTAATTATATACATTATAAGGTATGTAGATTATCTTAATATTTAATTCAACAAATAAACAAAATGTGCATGAAAACCTAAAACACTCATTACTTGAACTAAACTTTAAAAAACTGTTAACCCTGTGGATAATGGGCTTGGTCATTTTGGTCATCCTTGTAACCATCATGTAATTTATATATGCTATAACTCTTAAAGTACTTAATTTAACTTCGCAAAATTTGCCAAGCTTTTAGTAAATGTTACAAGTCTATTATACATAAAAAATCTGAAATTTTATGAGTGTTTTTACTGAAGATCTATTTATTTACAAAGCCTTTAATGAGTCAGTGATTGTGAAGGTGATTTTCATACTAACAACAAAAATGTTTCTTTTCACCCTGCAGTTTTCATATTTCATTTGCATAACTTCTGAAACTTCCTAAATGAATACCAAAGGTATTCCTTCTGTGACACTTTATTTCTTATTTTCCCTACCTTAATACTGTAAAAAAAATCACACGTAACAAAAATTAAAAATACGAAATTAAATCAAAAATACATTTTTTTTTATAGAATATGATACTTTTCATAACTGCTTTCATTTAATTTTATTGCTCTTTGAAGTGTGTCTACTACAATGGCAAGCAGTAAAACACTGTATGGGATTACCAAAAGTAAATAGCAGATTAGATTACATCATGCATGTCTGACTGTGTATGTTCCACAAGGAGTGATGACAAAATAATATTTGTTTCATTTAAGTTTTCTTATCTAACCTAATTAATTTATACAATTAGATACTATAAAAATAATAAATTAAAAATATACATGAGAACAAGAAATTTAGAACTTAACTTTAGGCCAGTTTGCACTTTAGTGCCTGCTTTTTTTTCACTATGTAGGCTTTAAATATAAATTTTAAAAAACTGAAAACATATCACTCACTACATTAGATTGTACAAAAGCTACTGAAATTTATCTAGCTTTATAACTAACCTGTAAGTAAGTTAAAAAAATTTCATTACTTATCAAAGTAACATCCGCCCAAACACATTACATTTTCATGGTAAATTATCAGTTGTTAACTCACAAACAAAACAGTGTATCCTGTGATTTATGTAGTGTACAACTTGCTCTTTTTATTGGTTATTATTAAACATGTCCAACAGAAATGCACAAAATAATTATAGACATTTTTTAAAAAGATAGAGGGTATGTGTCATGGTGGGATGAACAATTAAGTAATATCTCAGTAAAGTAAGAAGCTAATAGTTTATATTTTAGCTTGTGAGTATTGTTAGTATGTGTGTTCTACACTGGTTGAACAATTTGAAGGAATTGATGGGGAAGAGAAAAAAATCTACAAATAAGAAATCACAGTGCTACCAAGTCATGTGAGACTGAGGTGCAGATTGAGAATTCATTTAAACATTTCTTTTTAAAATTAGGAAATTCAAACTTAGGTAATATAAAAAGTTGAATTATAAACTATGTTTTGATGCCAAGCTGTCTGACATACAATGATAAAGTTGTTTAATTACATTTTAAATGTAACCCTGTAAGATGTCATAACATGCACACTTTGACCTCTGCTGATATCCTTAGGATTAACTGTTGTGATTGTAACTTGATCATAATATCATTCATCATGAAAAAGTCTTTAGAATAAAATAAATTTACACAACTTTTCTTTTGGCACACATCACAAGTTATTATTCTGTAATTTTGAAAGTTTTAAAAAAAGAAGATAAAAGTTAGAAGGCTAACGTTTTAGGTTCATAATAATTAATTGCAACCATATCCAAGGAATTTATACAATAAATTGCATTTCTATCAAGTATACACAATAATGAAAAAATGGATAAAATTGTTTTACTGTCAGAATATAACTTAATCTAAAACAAGCTACTTATATGGTTCTACAGTCTTCTTACCCCACATTCTAAAGATCTACCACAAACATTAATTTTTAGTTTAGTTACAGACACAGTTTCAGTATTTGTGCCAAAATTTCACTTTGTGTACCATAGTTACTTCTCCAGATAAGTAGCAGTATTATATGCCCTTTGTTTTGAAAACTGTGATTCCAACTAACTGTTATACTTAAAGATCTCTCTGACCACTTTCTTTCTAAATCAGTATAACTGACCAGGATAACAGTGAAGACAACAATGGAATCATGACAACTTTCAGTAACTACATAAAAAAACTACTATATGTTTTTGGAAACAAACATGATTTTTTTTAATGTTTGTCATATCAATTCACTTATCACCTTTCGTTATTTTTCCTTAAAATATATACTATAATCTGTGCTACTCATAAACATCACATCAGTAGTGTTCAGCAACTTATCATATACCCAAGCTTGTAAATACTGACCATTTTTAACTAGTGACTTCTTAGTTAATCACTGGCATATCTGAAAGCCAACACCTAAGATTCAGGAACTTGATCCAATAATAATAAAGTAATTGATGTAACACATCAAACATAAATTGGACTAAGCCCAGCATCCAACTCATTTAAACAGCAAACTTCTACTTTGAAAAAATGCTTAGAACTGAATAAACATGACCCTAACTAAAGTTGTTTGTTTAAAATACCTGTTAATATAGCAACACAACAAGAATATTAATATTATAGTGTTGTAGGTTTTGGAATATTTCAGTCAATTTCTGAGAAATCAAATACTAAATAAATTGCCCTTATATCATGTCTACAAAAGAAAAGGTAACTTAGTTTCACCCCTTCTGCTTTTTAAATGTCAAGAAACTTGTTAGGTTTACATACAAAACTGGAATATCAATTTACTGAGAGAAGTGTGGATGTTTTCTAAATATTCAGCAGTTATTCATTTACAAAGACATTTATTTACTGAGAAGTAAAACTGAAGACATTTTCCATAGCTTGTATGACTAAAACTTGGTCTTTAATCATAGAAATAACAAAAACTTTATAATTGGGCAGATAAACCAAGACTCAACAATTTATTAATCCTATTCATTTTTCTTGTTCAAAACATATATTGCATAGCTGTTATCTTTACATTATTTAGAATAAGTACAAGGCAGTCTATAAAAATCAAATTTAATTAATAGAAAGAGAAGAATAAACTAAAACCAGAAAAACAATATAAAAGAAAAATTTCTGCAACAGTATTTATCAATTATTACTCATATTAATTGGTTTCAAAATTATGGTCTAATCATTAAAATTGCCAAGTTTAGCATATGAAAGCACAGGCTCACCTTAAAAAATACTCAACTTTTAAGAACTCTTTCATATTAAAACTGAAACTCTTTCCACAATATTAATAAACATTAAATTTATCAAATCATAAAAAAAGTCAAATTAGAACAATCTTCATATTGACAGACTAACATGACACAAATTTTGTTTTTTTTTAATGGGGAAAAACATTAAATACAAATCACTAAAACAAATATGACTTCAAACAATTTGTAATTTAACCAGTAGTGAAGTATGATTTATAAAAAGAATACTGCTGACAGTGACTTAGACAAAATACTGTAACATGCAGGAAACTAGTAAAAGAAACAAAATTAAATTTATACGCACTAAAAACATCTGAGTTTATGATTGTTCTCATCAGCTTCTTATGAAGCACCTAAAATATTTTTTAAGAAATACAACCAATGGCAGTTTTAAAAAAGTGGGCTTTACAAAATTTATATTTAATGAGACGTTTCTGTCTCTGCTTTAAGCACCTTCACAACAGCTTCAACAGATTTATCAAAAGCTTTATTCACCTGAACATTTGTATAATGATGCTCTTAAGACAAAACTTTGCAGATGACGTTAAAAACCCAATTTTTTATAATTCAATCACTTGTAAGAAAAAGCTGCAGAAAACTAACTGGTACTTATCATCAACTCAAAAGTTGAGAAGTAGCTGTTTTTGTAATAGTAGTTGATGATTTCGCTGGACTGGACTGAGGTCGTTTTGGAGAGTAAACAGCTCTGATCATCGATAACCTTGCAGAAAAGAATCGGTTATACTTTTCTTTAGGTTTTGCTGCACTTCCAACTTTATAGCTGACTTTCTGTAGAGAACTTGTCCTGCACACAAAATACACATATATGTATTTTCTTTTCAGTGGATTAACAAAATATACAGACTATATTTGTATCAAAAGACTAAATATGGTCAATGAAAAAAAAAAAAAATTTAAAAAAGAAAATTCTCTGAATCATAAGTGACAATTTATTAAATCACTGTTATTCTGTTATAAAAGTTAAGAAAATAATCTCTCTAAATGTAAAAAAAGAAAGAAAAACATTATTTACAGAAGCACACAGGACAAAAAAAAAGACAGGCCAAAACTTTTACCATAATATACGATTCAATATTATTTACTAATTAATTTATTACACATTTAACTGACATATAATATTTCAAACCCAACAACAGGCTTGATGAGAAAAAGCACTTTTTATGAAAGAGTATAACAAATCATGGGTTAAAAAATAATTCAACTACTCATTGTCACCAGAGAGAGAAGTCTGGTCACTGCTCATTACGTTTACAAGAGCTACCTGCACTGGTTGCCCTAATCCTGAACTGATAGACTAGAAGGAAGACAGACAGTCAACAGTAACCAATGCCAACTCTTGCCTGATTGAATAGTGGGGTGTGCCTGTCACTCTTATAGTGTACCCATGGCCCTAAAGAGAAGAGTGTGATTTTGTGGCAACAGGATGCAAACCATAAATTCAATAACCATCCACACAATTATGTTTACAATGCAATTTTTAAGGAGAGGTTAATATTATCTATCAACATCATCATTACTTAGAGGTGATTTTCTGTACATTGGTTAACTGAGAAACAATTTTCAGTCTCCAGCAAATGAGAAGAAAACGGCTGAAAAGTTGTTTGGAACTGGAAACAGAAGCAAGTCATTACATATTAGCTGACTATAACTTAAAATATAGCCCAACATCAAAGTAGATGCCTGACAAGTTATTTTCCCTTAACATTCATTTCATTTCTTACTGACAATTAATGTTCGAGGGAGGTTAAACTCCTAATGAAAATAATAAAAATGCTGATAACATTAAGTGCCATTAATCATGTACTGACAGATTAGTACCACATATACAGTCTAATTTTGTGTAACAAGCACAAATAAAATAACTGACAAATGTTATGAGCACAGAACAACTTCTGATAATTTCAACCGTGAAATAAAAAATTTGTCATATAAGTCTTTAAAATAAAAGACATGATTTGCTAGGCAAAAAATTACCTCACTTCAAAACCTGTAACTTTTGTTATAATTTTTTATGCTAATTTGGCCTAAAACACAGAATACAACTTCTAAAGTACTATAAGAAATGTTTGGTCTTTTTTGGAACTAGTGTTGGTGAACTCAGCTATCAGACAAAATATACATAATATTACTAAGTACTTGCCTAAACAAACCTCCAGTATGTTTAAGCGAGTGACTAGGAAAAAAAAACACCCGTCATAGAATTCTATGTACAATAATACTCTTGCAACAAAAATATATAAATCTCTGAAACTACACATCAACTAATTATAATTTTCTGAAACTTCTTAGTTACTAATTTAGTTTGCAAACTTCAGTTTATTCTTAATGATGGTGCACAACCATGATGGGAAATAGTGTAAAAACAGTAACTGTATGACTAAAGAATTTATAATCCTAATGGCAAAGCTCTGTAGTCTTACAACTGCTCTAGAGTTATACGAGTATCATCTATACATAATAGATATAAGAATTATATTTCTGTAAGTTTACAAACCTTACCCAATACAGGTAACATGATTAGTGCACACACCTTGTCAAAGTTACATTAGAGAAAACTGATGCAGTTATTTATCTCATTTGGTTTGTTTTGAATTTCGCACAAAGCTATACGAGCTATGCTAGCCATCCCTAATTTAGCAGTGAAAGACTAGAGGGAAAGCAACTAGTCATCACTACTATCTGGCAACTTTTGGGCTACTCGTTTTACCAATGAATAATGGGATTGACCATCAATTATAACGTACCAATGGCAGAAAGGGCGAGCATGTTTGGTGGGACATGGATTCAAACCCGTGACCCACAGATTGCAAGTCGAACACCCTAACTACCTGGCAATGCCAGGCCTTATCTCTTTTATGCATTATTTTTCCATAAAATACTTCTGTGAAGATTATTACTCACTACTGAACTAATATTTGCATAACATTATTCACTTAAAATACTTTTTTTTTAATATTTGATTTACTTGAGTAGTTGAGTTTGTAGAAAGCTTTACTAGTAGTAGCTAGTGGGTTAACCCTTTAGTTTAAGTACTTACTTAGTATGCAAGACGTCCTAGGTTCAATTCTACTTATGGGAATTACACAAACAGGAATATAACATAAACCCTATGTATGTATGTATGTATATATATTAAGGATGTTACTTATCCTCAGAGGTGGCTCTAAGACCCATCATTGCCTTGGTAGACTTAAAATGATAAAATATTTAAAACATAATAATAAATACAGATACAACTGATCTCAAAATTTCTGATTTTTCCAGTAAACACTGGTAAGAATTCTATATGGATATGCTACTTTCACAATAGTACTGCTCAGGATGTTTACTGTGCATTCTTTAGGGATGGGTTGTTTATTTCTATGTATAACATATTATTCTACATACTAAATTTGTTTTTTTTAATGCAGGAAGGGAGACAAACCCTGTTAATACTTTACAACCACCACAAGAAATTTAGATTGATTTTTTATTTTTAGCTTCAAGAAAAAGAGGCATTTCTATATGGAACTTGTATACAATATAAATGTGCAGGTCTTTAGAATTCTCTAACAAATTTTAAACAAACTGAGTAGAATATCTGGCCACCTCTGATAAACTAATTTAAATATTTTTGGCATGCTTATTTATTTTTCTATTATATTATACCTAAAGTGGTTGAGTGTTTGTCTTCTTTAAGAAAATGTCAAAACACTTTCAGTCAGTATTTTCCAAACTCAAAAACCTTATTTTGGTGAACACATTCTCCTATGTTACTGTAATTATAAAGATTAATTTCTCTACAAAAATTCTGTTCAGGTGAAATTATTAGCATGCTGTAAAGAAAATAAGTAAAGGAAATGTAACTTCATTTACAGACAATTAAAAGGAAACATTTTAAGAAACCATGCTTTCTCAAGTCTTTTAAGTCAATCCATTTAACCCTCTTGCTACAGGCAGGTTAAAGTGTGCATATCATGACTGTTTAGAGTTACATTCAAAATTTAATTAAACTAGTTTATTATCATTGTATACAAATAAACTTGCCAACAACACCTAATTAATAAATCAAGTTTTAATATAAATTTTAAGTGTTTAATTTTATAAGGAAATATTTTTAAAAATCCTCAATCTTCCCTGGTATCAGAATTGTGCCATTTGTTTTCTAGGCCTTCTCTTCTCTAATCTATTTTCCACCCTTCCACGAAGTACAGAATTTAATGAAAATTACTCATAATATAAATATTACTCAAGCAAAGCATAAAATTTTTAGCCTTCAATTTTATTTGTTTATGGAGTCATAAACTACAAAATCAGTCCCACTCCTCATGTGCACCTGTCACATCCCCTTTTTCATAAACTACCAATAGTTCTCTCTGAATTTCTATACTATTATATAACTAATAGAAAGTAAGTTTTAATCTATCAAATAACATAATATATTATCATATTTTCTGTTCAGGGCATTCTGTTTTTTTTGTTCAGTTAGAAAATTTTTCTCATGGGAATCACATTGTTGAGCTTAGCTTAATTTTTACAGGCTCTTAGCACAAAGTTAAAAAGCCAAAGAAATTATGATAGTTATAGGACATTATTTGCTTTTTGTGTGCTATTATTCTGTGTTCTTAGGTGCATTATTTGATAAAATAAAAAAATATTTAGTATAGTATTACCATTGGTATAAAGAAAAATAAGCTTAAGTTCCATCCACATTCAACAGTATATATATAATAAAAAAAAAAGAAAGAAGAAGATCCATGTAAGTACTATATTTCTTGTTTTTCATGTGTATTATTTATTTATTAGCATAAAAGTAACTAAAATGTAAAACAATAATAATAAAAATTCTTCAAGAAGTATGCTTGCAAGCAGCTTGTGTGTTACATATTTCAACACAAAAATAAACTGTACATTTACTGAGTGACGTACAACTTGTGTGGTGTGATAATTAATTAGATACAATGCAAAGGTCGCTAAAACAATAAAATCAAGTACAAATATATGTACACTGTTACAAGCTTTTAACTATTTAGGATAAATATTTGTGGTTTCCTGTTACAATTTGCATTGATTCTAGAAAGGGAAAAGGATAATTTAGATTTATTTTCAAGCTTTATACAGTGGTTACGAGTTCAGTCAATTTGACTGACCCTGTATTGAGTTATAATACTTATTTAGGAGGTTTTATAGATTACACAAATGAAATTTGAAAATTTTCAGAGAAAGTATTTTTAATCTTAACATGAAAATCACTTTACAGTCAGAACGGTAAACAATCCAACTCCAAATACTTACTGACAAATTTTTAGTAAAAATAGTTAATTAAAAATTCTGATTTTTTGGTCTATAAAAGACTTGCAATGTTTAATAAAATCTTGAAAAATTTTGTGCAGATACACGATACATATAAAAGTTGTAAGTGTAGAAACTTTTATGGTTAATTTGGGGTCACGGGGGTTGGCATAATCCACCAAGCAAGCGGGTTAACTGAAAAACTTTTACAGAAAGATAATTTTGACGAAAATTTTGTTCATTAAAGATTCTCAAATATGTAAAATTTTCATCAGTAATTACCTTTCCTTAATCCATTTCCCAATTAATTGCAATGAACAAATCATTTCTCAAAATTAAACATCAACCACTACTTGATACCTGACTTTCAAAAGGGGGGGAGGGCTGATAAACTGATATAATCTACAAAAAATTGTTGCATTGTTATTTAACTTCGCAATGTATTAAAATAATTTGAATACCTATCTGGTCAGATCTTATCAGCACAATCATCTTTGTAGCTCAACTGAGTCACCTACAGTAAATGCAGGTATTTCTACAGGAGCATACTCAAGTCAATATTTTCATCACCCCAGATTTGCATTCACAAAAGAAAGGAGAAACGATAGTTTTCACCATCACAGACATATATGTATGTGCATAGAAGCCAACAAAAATCACTCAATAAATGCTCTCATTATCCCAGATATAACAAAGATACATATGTGTTAATAGCTCTTCAAATAAATAATGATTTTTACCATCCCAGTACAGCAGTATTTGTTTGTTTATTGAATTTCAAGCAAAGCTACTTGAGGGCTATTTGTACAAGCCATCCCAAATTCTGAAGTGATTGACTAGAGGGAAGGCAGCTAGTCAACATCACCAACTCTTAGGCTACTCTTTTACCAATGAATAGTGAGATTTACCACCATATTATAATGCTTCCACAGTTGAAAGGGTGAGCACGTTTGGTGATATGATACAAAGTACAATCATTAACACATGCATGTACAAAATATATATATCTATACAAATGTAAAAAATAAATGCTTAAAACATTTATCACTTAGAAAGTAATAAACAAAAATTAAATACTTTGGGCTTTGATCAAGTAATTCATCAGTTTTCCTTTCTGGTGTTGAGTAGACTGGTTCCTAGGGCAAAAAAAGCAAACAGTAAAATTACTTTTATTCAGGTACACATGCATATTTTTATGTAAAATATAAATATGCTGTTTCCTGTTTATTCACTAATATGCATTAAGTTCAAAATAATTAACTATAAAAATCAAATCTGTTGAATCCACTGAATCTAATAAACACATTCAATTGATGACACAATGGGACAAAATATTTAACTATCAAAAAACATGAATGCTCCTTTGTTAAACTGCAATGCCATGAATTTAGCTAGAAGTAGTAATTTTTCAACAAGCTGGTGTTAAGTCATGTATAGAAATATATTGTTTTTGTTTTAAAATGAGCTTTAATGATACAAATAACTTGTACACCAGGAGATCTTTGAAAACATTAATATCTGCTATTTTGAACCAGAAAGGCACCTTACATGGCACATAGGCTAAATGGTCACATCAAAGATCCCTAAACTTCAGACATACTTAAATCAGAGCTCCTGACCAGAAGAAGCTCAATGAGTCAGCAGCATTCGCCATTTATTATGTAGCTGTTCTTAGTGAAACAGCTGGACTGACCTTGAACATTAAGATCTGCAGCTTGGCATGCTAACCACCTGGTTACACTCAGCCTTAGAAAACCTACAAAATATTTTTGGTAAAACTATTCACGGAAGATAAAGGGTACAAAACAAGTCAAAAGACAAGGTAGTTACAGGAAAATGAAATGTTTAAAAACTACAAGAAAGATTTTAAGGAAAAAAAAAAAGGTTTATGTATACAAATCTGGTTTTAACCATTTTACCTGTGGTTTTCATTCAGGGAAGATACAACTTTAACAATAGTGTTTAAAAAAATCAGTCTTGACAATGCCATTTGTATCTTTGTGTTTCATTTATTTCCAACCCAGAGGGATGTCTTAAGAAAGCTTTCCCCACTGATGACTGGGACCAGTTCACTTCCACAGCCTAATTCACAGTGTGTTTGCCTCCCCCCCTCCCCTTAATGCAGTGTCCGTACTTTCATGTTTCTTCTATGATTTGTTTTTATTGCACAGATAAACTTAATTCACAGGTGTTCCTGACATAGGATTAAGTACAAATTCAATGAGTTATTCATGAATTGGTTAGTTTAGCACTATGGGCAAGGAAAAAAAAAGATTATAAAGAATGTTTAATGAAATGAGTGTTATTTACTTCATATACCTTTTTTTTAAATGAGAAAATTTAGAATACTTCACACTCAGGATAAGACTTTATGATCAATTCAAGAAAAAAAAAGAATAAAAGATGTGGAACAGTTGGAAATCAACCTTCACAGAACAAAAATTCTTTTTTACAAATAGTGTAAATAATACTAAATTAAGTCTATAATTTGTTTTCCTGGCCACCATATTTAAAATGAACATATCATATACTCATTATCATCATGAGTTAATTCAATAAAAATATAATAATATTCATTTTGTGTTTGAGAAACTTACAGTATAGTAAAAAGTGACTGGAATACTTTAGTGTAACTTAACAAAGGAGCAATATCTATAGTAGAGACAACTAATATGGGTATTAAAAATTTATCTAAAAACACAAAACAAGTAACAACATTTCAACCTGCTAAGGTCATTGTCATGTTAAGAATGACTTTGAAAAAGTAACTTATTGATCACGTCGTGTGAATGACAATAATGATAGGTATAAGATTGTAGGGGTGCTGTATACAAGTAATTCTATTATTATATTGGTAGTCAAGAGTGTAATATCACACGCAAACACATTACTGTTGTCCCCATGACACATGATCAATAATAGTCACTTTTTCAAAGTCATTCTTAACCTGTTGATGACCTAAGTAGTTCAAAACATTGTTACATGTTTTGTGTTTTTAATGCCCCCATCAGTTGTTTCTACTGTAGATTTACTTCAAGTGGATCCCTCGACAACAAGAAAGGAGCAACATATTTTCAAGTTGCGAAACATTTCAATTTAGTGACATTAAAGATGTAAGTGTCAAACAAGAGTAGGATATTTAGACAAGAAAACAGGAAATATACTTTAAACATCAATAGTTTTGCAACCCAGCCATATGCAAAAATAAATTAGTATTGAAATACTCCTTGCAGTAAAACATTTTTACCCACATTTATCAAACATTAAATCTTGAACAACTTTGTTGAAGTAACTTGAATGTAAATCTTAGATGAATAAAAACATTTTTAATATGTTCAGTTTTTATATTATTACAGATATCATGCATAATACTACTTTCATTTTATCCTCAAATCAATTAAGTTATTAATACAAACTACACATCCACCAATATCTACAATTCACCTACTACACAACCACATATTTCTGACCAAAACTGAGAGTTAGGTGTTTAAGATATTGAGTTTGCCTTTCTGAATTCTATCAAATGTATATATTAGTTAAATCACAATCTGTATTAAAACTTTTTACACAAGTTTTTTTCAGTTGTGATTTTTTTTATGCAAACTTATAAACTGATATTTTACTGTCAGAAATACTTTTTTTATATTTCACAGTAACTCTCAGTTGGCTAATTACTTTCTAGGCACATTTTAGAAACCAAATTTGCTCTGCTATCACAAGATGGCACCACTGAGCACACATACAGAATATATACCTACACATCCATCCTACCAACTTACATCTTTAAAAACCACTGAAGGAGCTGTAAACATCTTGAGAAGGGCTCTCATTTTGTTAGAACAGAACTAGTTGTGATAAAAGTCAAAAGAAAAATTAAGTTTTTCTTTGTAGTAAAACTTTTAAAAACATTGACCTGTTGAATTCATAGAAAGTGAAGCTTATGATCTGCATAAAAAGGGAAAGACATTAAAATAAGTTTGATCTCCACAACTTCAACAGTTTAGGTGTTACGCTGAAGGAAAATAATTCTAAAAGCTCAACTAAATAACAGAAGCAAAGTTAAGAAAACAACAATGGAAATAAAAGTCCAACACTACACATGAAAAGTCAGTCATCAATAACAAAGGTTAAAAATTATGCAGTAACTTTTAAAGTTATGTCAGTAACTCATAAACATGTGCATTATAATTTTATCTTCACTGTTAATTTACAGACTATGAGTATGCCAGGAACTTGGATTTTTCTCCATCTTTTATTAACAATGTAAGCCTATGGCTATGGTACAGTTTATGTTTTTTTTTCTAGACATACTGTCCTTTACTTGTTGCCATGGGAAAGGGAGTTTCTTTTTGACTCTTAAAATGCTCAATGTTTTTATTATTGTTATTCATTCATTCAAAAAAATTAAATAAAATGAAAATTTTTCACCAATGAGTGGTGATGAATGAGCTCAAATAAGTTGCATTACTTTCTAAAAGATTCAAAAATCTACCCTTAAGACTAAAATTGAGAAGGTAACCATGACAACATTTTATATACAATCTCTGTAAGCTTGTTATAGATTAAACCCATGCCTTAAAAAATCACTTGGTGGTGTTGAATCTATAAAAATTTTTAAGAATTACAAAGTTGTAATTTTCAAATATTCATTGCAGAAACTATTTAATATTCATATTACTCAAAATTTACCCTTACCAGATAGTTGCATGCAACATGACTATTACTGCAATACTAGGCCTACTTACAGGATCTCTGGTTAAAGTTTCATACCTATATGAACTAGTGCCAGAGAAAGTCCTGCTTTCAGTTATTTCACTCCTGCATGGAAAGCCATCACCAGAACTCACTTAAAAATAATGTTATTATAGAAATTAATACTGATGTTGTCACTACTCATGGGACTGTCACTGGTTTGTATTAACAATCAGTTTACCAGATTAAAGCATCGCTTTTATCAACTTAAAATCAGTATCAGTGCATCCAAACTGAAATATGATAAAAATATTAATATTTACTAAACAGATGTAAATACACAGCTGCACATGCATTAATTATTTGAAAATCATGCAGCAACTCATTCAGTTACTTTAAAATAACAGTAACAGAATTTATTCTATATCTTAACCATGTAGAATTCAATTTAAACCCCAGAGAGACAAACAAGTGCATTTCTGTATCTTTACTAGTATTTCTGTTTGTACTTTCATACCACTGTATGGAACCATACATTTACGATCATGTAAAATCCTGCTATGAAACAATCTTCCTCGTATACGGTTTTGTTAACAGAATTAATTTTTTTATGTTATTCATTTGCTTCCTATTTCAACTCCACTGGGTCAATCTTGAGAATACAAAGTCAAAGATGTGAATGTAGCTTTCCTGTGAGAATGAACCATCTGTCAGAGTATACACACACTGAAGAACCCAAAATTTGTGAAAAACTTTACATGATATCAAATTTAGATTTTGTTATATATAAAACTCCCTACATAACAATCATAGGAAGTACTACAAAAATATGCCTTTCTTTTGATTTAAAGAAAATGTTTCAGCCTTCTTGCTGTTATTCATGAGACTGCAAAATATCAGCCATTTAGACAAGCTGAAAACACAACCTCACGTTACCGTATCAAATAACATAAAACTGGCCTTTGATCTGTACAAAGTAACTTGTCTTCGCTGTGTTTTAGTAGACTAGTACTTTGTTAAATACAGTCACATTTCAATTATTATACATTATATATGTATACAGATTGTTGCTATTTTGAAATAAGTTCTTAAACATATTTTTCCTAAAACATAGAACAGTAACTAAATAAGTAAAGCAAACAATTATCTCTTCTAGTTATGATCTTTGTACTCGGTTGCTGCTTGACGTAGGTTGTTAAGCCTTTAAAAATTTGCACATGGAGGATATGAAACAATTTTTTTTTAGGTTTTATATATACATTTGAATAACTAAAAAATCATAAATTACTACAATAATACCATAGAATTCCA